ATCTTTAGGCGTGACAAATCGAACAGAGCACGCCAAATTAACGCCATTCCATGACGTTAACGAAAAATGCACAACTTGTTTTATAACATACTGTTTTGTTATTATATAAAAAAAAAGAAAAAAAAGAAAAAAAAAGAAAAAATCAACGTTGTCGCAACATGTTTACAGTGCGACATGTTCTGCCCAGACTGTAATATTTCACCAGGTAACCAGCTGTGGGAAAATTCTTCTCACTGATGGGTAGGGTTTACTACAAAACCGATTTTGAAAAAAAAATTAAGAATTAAAAAAAAAAAAAACGCATCATGTCCCCGGTAAAAAAGTTACAGTATTGTCACACCCAGAAGTTATTTGGTCACCAGCGCAGCCTCGGGTATTCAGTAGCCAAAGGAGGGTACCAAAAGTTCGACCTATAGTACTGTAGTTCTACAACACATGGCGTTTGTCGTTTGCTTTCAACTATCAACGAAATACTTCGTGTGCAGTAATGATAAAGCTGCTAATGAATGTTCTGTTACAAACGCTTACAAAAAAATGTTTGTTGTTAGAAATCAAAACTTTTGAAATACTGTAACCAACACAGGTGAATAAAGTTTTGAATTTCTGAGACGACTTGTAGGTGATTTCTTGCCTTTCTTGTGGCCTTGTTAGAGTTACGCACTCCTGTAACAGCTCACGATCACACTGAGATTTGCCCCTCAGAGCGCGTTAGTCTGAGGTCGTCCTTCCCGGAGTAACAAGACTGGCAATGAAAACATACATTGCCATGTCGACGGTGGTTGTTGTTAGAGTTATTGTTTGCATGGCACTGTCATGATTTTGGGGAAGCCTCGTTGTGGTCTGTCATAAGTTTGTTAAAAATAACATTTGAGCATTTGAGGTCGCAAGTCTTTGGGAAAACCTGCCCTACTTTCCATAAGTCCCAGGGCTTGTTCACTATACACTATGGGGAGGGTAGGAGTGACCTCCTGAACTGCACTGTATCTGTCTAGACTTACCAGGTAACAAGGTATACATATATACTTTCCTTTCGTTATTATGAAATATTATGTGTCATCACCAGCAGCATACGATGTATACGAATAAACATTGATTAGGCATCTGAACACTGGTAATTGTATATCATTAAAATTATTATAAAGTATCCTATGTGCATCACCGACAGTATACATGTACCTTGTTACCTGCTAAGTCTAGACAGATACTGACTGGAGTTCAGTAGAACACTCCTCCCCTCCCCAGAGTGTGTAGTGAACAAGCCCCAGAAAAGTAGGGCATCCCTGCAGAAAGGTTTTCCCAAGGGTTTCCAGGAATTTCACTAAAAGTAGGACTGTGGGCATAGATGTGTTTTAGCAAAATTCCAGAGCTGTGAGACATTTAATACTATGAAGTGTAGACATTCCATGCCTGTGGATAAAATCCTGTACAATTCCTAGAATTCTTGCAAACTGCACACAATACTGTACCATTAGACTCCCCCTGAGGCTTTGCCAAAATCAGAAAGTGTATCATCTGAACCCCAATCACAAAACATACATGTACCAAGTCCCAGAGAAATCCTCCCACCCCACCGGTGAGATACAGCTGCGAACATACAAACGTCGACCAATAACTTAACTCTTTTGCGGAAGGATGTCTCCTTCCCCGGAGGCAAAAAGTATTTTCAATGCTACTTTTGTAAAACATTTTCTGTAAAATGTATGCAGAGAGGCTGGAGACTGTAACTTGAACATCTAAATAATATTGAGCCAATAGTTTCTAGATTCAGTTTATTACAGTTGGAAGTATATCTACATTTTTTGTATAGAAAGCGGTATGCTCTACTACATAGAGGTATTGCATCTATACATGTATCATAATTCATATAAAATCTAGAAGGTTGATTGCAAAATAATTGTATGTACATCTTCAACCTAAATGATTGTCTTGAGAAGTCTTTTACATTCTGATTCAACGTAATTCAGATCATTGCCTTTTCATTAGGAAAATTGGTTTGGCTAGATGTCATATCATTTTCATGCATCAAGCCATGTTGATTTGATTATATAGATGACATCCTCTGGGAACCCCAAAACTGACACGAGCATGCAAAAAAGTTTGGAAAAAAAAGTTGCCTTCATTATGAAATCTACGTGGTCATAGAGGTTGAACAAATGACTAAGCACAAAGAGTATGGCAAATAATAATAGACTCATTTTCATTTCTTCACATTTTCTTTTTTCCTTAATTGATTTCGGCATTCTATGACATAAGTATCATTCTCCAATACTTTTTTGCATCAATCGACATATACTCCCTCATTTTGAACAATTTACAGTATGGTCCAAAACTTCTTTTTGGAATGGACCGAAAATTCATGCGCGCGCGGATGTCATCCATATACTGGTAATCAACATGGCCTCATGTAAGAAAAAAAAAACTCTTGGCACTTTCCAGAAGCGAAAAAAAAAACATACATGTGCTGGTAGTACTGAAAGAATGAATGTGCTTTAGACATGCCAGCTGTTATTTTATCATGTACATGTAGTATAATGATCATATAACAGGGTCCAGTGCTAGGGACATAGACATTTTTTGCCGTGGTAATTTGTCCTCTCTCATCAGACACCTGATTTGGACCCCCTCCTGGTCAGATGAAATGCTATCAAAAGAGGATTAACGACAGCCTCCAACTCATAGCATCAGCCATCAGCAGACCTATCAACCCCAGGTTTAAGTCCAGAGATGATGGTCCTTTTTGATTACAATCATCTGACCATCATGGTTATGTGGAGAGTACAGCAGTTGTTAACATAGATCTTAATAGTTAAACCAGGTCAGAGGTTAGTGTTTGGAACAGAAGAAGAAATTGAGTAAAACAATATGTTTTCCTTCGGTAAACATAATTAATTGCAGTTTTGGCAGAAGCTCAAAGTGGGCCAACAAAATCTGAAGAAATTGTACATCACACGCCCTTTTCCCACATGCCCTTTTCTGTACAGCGTAATCGGCCGTTTTAATTCTATGTAGAGTGTAGACAGACCGCTCTAATTCACATAGAGCGCAATTGGAGCATTTTGCATAGAGCGTGTTTGCCGTTTTAATTCTATGTAAAGCATAATTGAGAGGTTTTCTGAATTCAGTGTAATACATAGCCAGCTCTCAAAATTTAGTGTAGAGCGTTGTCGGGACCCCCCCCCCCCCATGCAGGCCCCCAGGAATGGATGTTGGAACTTTAAAGATGCTGGGATCTAGCAACAGTCGCGGAATTGCGCGCCTTCCTGATGACCTCGTTACACTGTCGCCGCTCCTTGAGCTCATTGCCCTGGAAGTAACCCTCGTTGCGAGGAAGGCCGTGGGTCCCATCTGCAAACGTCAGCAGCCCTGGAAGAAACATCATATTACACGTGTTAGAGCTGTGTAGCTGAACAAATCTTAGGTACAGGTACATGTACACGGGTTTAGGTACAGGTCCGGACCTAAACCTGTACCTAAACCCGTGGTCGAATGGTTTAGGTCGAATGGTTTAGGTACAGGTCCGGACCTAAACCCGTGGTCGAATGGTTTAGGTCGAATGGTTTAGGTACAGGTCCGGACCTAAACCTGTGCCTAAACAATTCGACCAATTAACATGTTCTTCTGAACTCCATCAATAATGAGAAAAACAATAATAAACTTTACGGTAAGTTTTTGTTTATGGAGAATGCTTAGACAAAATATGGGAGAAACCAAGATGTTTTTGTTTTCATCTCCTACCCTGCAACACAAACCTGACCAAAGGGACATCTAGAGGGAGCGTAACTAATACACAACACAGATCTTTTAGGGTAGTTACTAGTAACACTGCCAGGAGAACTGTGTTGGATGTAGAGGAGGGATGAATGTGTTTATACCGGCAATAAATGGTCTGTTGTTGGACCTGTATCAAAATGATCTTTAAATTATGGTCCTTTGTACAACTGCACAACTGTAAAGCCATACCAATCTAATTTGTTGGTTCTTGGATTCGCCTCTCATTTTTTTCTGATGTGCAAAAATAAAAATAAAAAAGCAGGGAGAAAAGATTCTGGTTCTGAATCAACTCAAATATCCTCATATTTTGCCCTCAACAGTTGAGGAAAGTCCTTTTCTTCCTAGTTGTTACAGTTTTTCCATCTATCAATGCAGTGGTATGATTAAAAGTTCAAAATTCATTGTTTAAATATTAACCCAGCCTTTTGTGTTGACTTCATGGCTCTTATTGTAGCATTTGGGGCTATAATAGGATGCCTAAACTTTTCTTAATTTTTTTCGCCCTGTCGCTTCATATTTTTTCTGAAAAAATCTGAGAACCAACAAATCAAAGTGGTGTGGCCTAAGCTTAAAGGTCCCTATCCTAGTCATTTGGACTAATCTTCTTACCAAGGCCATTGACTTTTCCATCGCGGAACTCTCCCTCAAATTTCATCCCATCACAGCGGGTGAACACCCCAACTCCAGAGAACCTGCCTCCTGCAAACTCACCTTCATATCTGCACACACATATACACAAATCACAACTGCTGTCATTCAATGTTATGTGAGAAGCAAAATCAAATGTTGTGATCCTTCACACATTCTTGACCTGGAACCCAAAGCATGATACAGACTTGTTAAGCAAAATGCTTTTCAATAGCTGAAGATGCAGCTTTCATATGGCTCTCTTTCATCATTAAGTCATAGCCATGGTCAAGCACACACTACTCTTCTGATGTTTTGATGTTTTCACAAGAAAAACGATTTAAGAAAAACTGCATGTTGTGTCAGCTGCAGTAAGCTCAAGAATTTATAGTGGTTAAAAAAAAGTCGGTGAAACTACTTACACCTGTAAGTGCTTTCAAAAATTATGTGAACCCCTACAATTTTATGTACACAAAGCAGTGTTAATTCAAGTAACATAGGAACATAAAAATGATCTGAATATTGAGTTAACTTTAGTATAAATACTAGTACACAGTTTTTAGTAACACACACTGGCAAGTTGCAATCCTAGTTGGAGATTGTCAGGAAGACTCTACTCAGATTTTTGTCATGTTAAGATCATGCAAGTATACGTACCTGGACCCATCAGCAAAGCTCATGACTCCATGCCCACTACAGAAGCCATTCTCAAACCTGCCTGTGTATTTGGTACCATTCGCAAGCGTTAGGTGCCCAAGACCATGCCGTTTTCCTGATGGTGAAAAAATGGATGTTATCATATATTTTATATATATTTATATATATTAAAGATATATACACTGTTTGAAACTCTCTATTCTAGCATTTCCTCATAAATTATGCTAATGAGGTCCTGACTAAGGTTATGTTTGATGATGTTCTGAATTGACTTAGATTTAACTTCCAAATGCAGCAAGGATGTAATTCCTGGCAGTTACCAAGTTATCAAATCATAGAATTATGCAAATTAGGCATTAATTTACATAAGCAATACCTGGCCGATGTTCCTCTTTTTCTTCAAATCACGTCACAAGTTTAAAAAGTTCTATCATGGAACTGATTAATGAGCAGATTTGTAGAATTTCCTCAGCCTATGTATATTATGGTACTGCATATTCATTTCCAGAACAAGCTGCTTTGGAGCCAAAACTTCTTTCACTTCTTTCCAATCACATGCACTTCTGACCGTCTAAGTTTAACATTCGTGACCTTAGCATGTCCAGATCATGGGATATCAAAATTGGCTGTTTTGCTGCAGTACCATATAACAAGCCGCCAGGTGTCCCAAAATTAAATTGTTGTCAGGTTCTCATCAAGACATGCTCACCTATCAAGATTCACGATAATCCATCCAAAGCCATGAAAGCATGACCTTTTTCATGGAAATGGGGGTGTCCAGAGGCATGCCCGTATCCAAGGAAGAACCCCCACAAGGCTCAAAGGTCCACTTTTTCGTCCACTTTTTATCTAAAGGTCCAAGATTTTTCTTTAAAAGATGAACTGTTTCGTGTCACCAGCGAGGCTGGAATCATACTCATAGGAAAACTGCTGACTTTGCTATTGAAAAAAGTTATCTCTGATATTTTCTGTGACATAAATAAAAATAAAACGCAGGAATGCCATTTCAAAAGGTTCATTTTTCAAAATTTCCAGGGGGAGCATGCCCCCGGACCCCCCTAGGAACCTCATGCCTATGGTGCTCGCTGGTCCCTTAAGCAGTGGGAAGAACCCCCCATTCAAAATCCTGGCTACGGGCATGACAGGCGGTCAACATGTTTTATTTCATATACAATTAAAAAAAGAGGACGTGCATCATCTGCAGCCCAATGACAAAACGTATATCGAGTATACCACCGTGAGATACAGCTGCGAACATGAAAACGTACGTTGACCACAAAACCCTTCTGCAGAAGAATATCTCCTTCCCCAGAGGTAAAAATCAAACTCACCATGTACATTCCACTCTCCATGATACTCCTCCCCTTCCCCATACTTGTAAGAGGCTCTTGTGGTCATGTCAAATCACACCTGGTATAAACAAAGAAACAGACTGAGGTACTAGTAAATCATTCGAAGCAACACAAAATGGAGAAGCCAGTGATAATTTGGCCGAACCAATCATTTCCCGTTGGCTGGGTGATGCTGCACGTTTTCACCTCAGTTTTTGGAGCGTCCCAAGCTTTCCTGCAATTTTTCCCTTAAATACCTACAGTTATAAGAAGTTGGCAAAGGGTGTTCTGTTACCTTAGGGATAGGTGAGGTGACATTGTTACATGTAACCATTTCAACAAACAGGACCACAAAGTGCCAAAACTTCAGCAAAAGAAAATATTGCTAGATAAAGCAACCACTGTTATAATTTATTATTATACCACTGTTTTTCTGGACAGAGATTCGTCATGTTTTAAGCTTTGTAAATTTACCTGCTCTGTAACTGCATGAAGGTAGCGTTAACGTTGATGTGGAACAGCAAGTTCGTTATAACATCACCAACTGCCCAGCGCCCAAATTAATGCAATGGGTCCTGGTCACTCCTGGACCTTTTGGTCTAGAGGTGGTGTTGTCGGCTGTGTCCTGACACGTCGCGTGCCCCTGGGAGTCAGAGTCAGTCTTAAATGTCAGTTTGTGTCTTTCCCTCTTGCTACGGTGTTGCAGTACTCGTCTGGCCCCGCCAATGTTTAATTTCCGGGTGTGTACCTTAATGGTGACGTCACATGTCAGCACCATCTGATGACGTCGTACCCAGCTGTGTCATTTGCATACTCATTTGCATAGTGCTAATTAGCATATCTGTGACTTGCTACATGCTGTACCCAGATCCTGACGTCACTAGCACACACGTTCTGGTGACGTCAGCTACAGGTGTTGTCCGTAATGGCCGGGTGCTCCAACGCTCGGTGCTCCTCCGAGCGGCGCTCTCTGCGCCGAGAGCTGGACCACTGGCGCAAAGACCTCATCACCTGCGTCGGTAAGACCTCTCTGAAAACCTTCCCGTACGGCACGAGAGCCTAAATATCACAATACGGCCGTGCGGGTTGCATGTTAGTGTTCGCTGTTGGTGTGTGTTTTTTTTATATATCTGCCACCGGAACACCTTGTCGTGAGGTCTGTAGCCCTTATGTCTGGCGGAGTCACCCCCGCTGGAGCAGCTCAGATCCCCACGGACATAATATTACATAAAATATTCCAAATTTTAATCAGCGTCTGTTTGTAAAAAATGATCTCTTCCACAGTGTCTTGTTGAAAATGGCTAGTTCCCGTTATAGAACAAATTTTCTGTATGCCTAAAGGGGTGAGAGGTCTTCTAGATAGCGAGCCTCAGGGCCAGGCCCAGGGGTGACCTGCTTCTGTCGGCGGAATTGTCAACTAAAGAGCACCGTGCACGTCACAGCTCATTATGCACCTGGAGACCACATCTAGCGGAAAAATAGACGTGAACGGTGAAGCAAGGACAAAAACAACAATTAATTATGTACACACCTGCCGGCAGCACAGCGGGAATTTGATAGTCACATTACTAGTGGTCAAATTTTAGGTATCAAGTCAATTTGCATAATTTATGCCTTGGTATTTGTGTTCATGTTCAGTGTAGGGGTGCCATCTGGGCACCAAAACAGCCAGCCAGCTGCAGTGATCTGCACCCATCTTGTGTACTAGTACTAGTATAGATCTGCCACTAAAATTGCATGTACAAAATATATAATGTACCCACAATGTACCTGTTGCTAAAGCATGTTCATGGGGGCCAGCATGCCCTTTTCCATAGAGCGTGATCGGCCATTTTTATTTTCTACGTAGAGCGTAGACGGACTACTCTAATTCAACGTAGAGCGTGATCGGTGCATTTTGCGTGTATTTGCCGTTTTAATTTAATTAGTGCATTGTAGCTACCCAGAATTTATCGTAAAGCGTAATGTACTACAGTACTAATGGGGAGGCTTCTTGAATTCAGCGTAATATGTAGCCGGCTCTCAAAATTTAGCGTAGAGTGTTGTCGGGAACCCCCCATGCAGGCCCTTGTTTATATTTAGCAATTAGCACCTTTGGTGCATTGATTTTTGATCCCAACAGTAGTAAGCTATGTTACACATAAGTGTATCTTCCTACTGGGACATCCTTAGACTAAAGTAAAGAGGAGGGTGTCCCACGAACTGTTTGATGGAACAAGAGGTCCAGTCTAAACTAGTCAGCAGGTGGAACAAGAATTCCACGATCTCATACCTTCACCAAATGATGTTAGCTCTTTCGGCATACGAATGATAATTTTTACTCATTGATTTTGCAAATTAGAGCTTTTTTAATTTGCATGAATCATATCAGTAGATCATATTCTCAACCCAATGACAGTTTTACAAAGAAGGATACGGTATTATAGCATTTAGTCATAAATTATGCAAATGGTGGCCTGATTCGAATATATTATGTTGAATGATATTCACCTTCACTTAACTTACAAAACTGGCAGTCCTACCTGACCGTAAAGACTACTCTACTCTACTCTATGAAATTCCTGGCAGTTATAGCAGTAAATCGCCGGATCTGCGAGGTTGTCATGCTATGTTTGGATCCCCATTGCTCGGCGATGGTTACAGATTTTCAAATAGTATTTGATTTGACTAAAAAACCTTGGGATTGTAGTGCTAAAGTTGGCGTGGTAAAGTTGGTCGGTCAACAAAGCGTTTTTGGTATAAGTCAAGTGAGTGCGGGCAAGGGTGATGCGGTTTGTCGCCTGATGACCCAAATAACTGCGTTCTATCTATGTGGAATTTCAAGGCATTAAATGCATCACCGGAGATTGCAAAAAACTTATTGCAACAACCTTTTTTTCATTTTTCATTTCAAGCATGCTGATTGGCTGATGTAAAGTTATTGTTACCTCCTTGAAAAACGGGGGTACCGGTATTCTGTATTGTTTTTGGCGTGTCTGCCTGTATATATGTTTGTGTGTGTGTGTGTCTTCGCACATTTGTAGTCAGCATAACTTCAGAATGCTGCTTTATAGATGGTGATTCACCAGGGTTTTTTCTAAACAGGGGAATAAGGGAGCTGCTCCCTCATGCAACCAGCCAGCTCCCTCATACCAATTTTCAGATTGAACCCTAAGTGGCTACTCTTATTAAAAAATCCCCCCCTAGTCACTTCGTTCCCAATGTCATGCTTGCGATCTGCTCCCTGATGCTAAATTTTTCTAGAAAAAACCCTGGTGATGATAGTTGGTATGTTGGTAGGCCGTAGGAAGACAAAGGTCAAGGTCAAATATGGGCTTCCTGGTGGCTGACCTTGGTACTGCAACAGAACTTCCGGTTTTTGTATCTTTTGTCCTGAACATGCTATGGTCTTCGATTTTTGGTGGCAGATAGTTTTTCCTGTCTGGAAGAAGTAGTGTACGTGGGTTTGATCCACCTAGCAGCTTGTTCTGGAACTGCAGGGGAGTTTCCACAAAATCTTTAAAAGTGGATCAGGTACATTGTACATTATAGGCGTTCATACGTGTAACTTTTTTTATATGTAATCTATGGCACATGGAACATTAACAGAGATAAGCATGAAAGTTCATTCAGTGTGTTGGTATACTTCATTATGACCAAAAAGGGCTAAACGTTCAGGCCAACACTAAGTGAATTGGGACTTTACCCAAATGTTCGGCCAACTCCGTCAGCCTTGTTCACGGAATGGACCCGTCTACTGCAGCTTCTGGGACGTGACGTCAGAAACATGTGATTGTTCAGTGTTGGACAGTTGGCCCGAATGTACACTGCTCTCTTTACTCCTCTGGCAGAGAAATCTGGTTCTGGGTCCAGAATTTTCACTTTGTGCAGCGAGACACTAGCCTGGGTTCGAATTCCATCCTGGTTAGTTTACGTCTGCTCCCACAGTCGCTACTGTGGGAGCGGACGTAAACTAACCTGGATGGAACCCAGGCTAGCGAGACACTTGACTGTCCTGGAGATTCTATTTGTATATGTTGAGATACTTCTGAACTGATGGAACTCGGTCATTGGTGTTTGAGAAACCGTGTTTTCAACGAGCGCTCTGTTTCACTGATGAAATTTTTTACACTGTGCCTTGTTTGTTACCCCTTGGCATCTACTTTCCTTGGATGTTTTGTCCTTTGGAGCGACTAGGATTTTTCTTAGAGTCCGAGTCGGTCTAAAGCAAGTCTTGATGCCATATTGACCAAATATTCTCCTTAGTGCTTCAGAAGTTCCCTTAATGTATGGTTTGAGGAGCTATAGCTAGGTTGTCTTAGGAGTTATCCGTACTCTCATCTGCCAAATAAACATACGGGTACGTTTATTTTTTTGGGCCCAAACATCCACACAGTACGTTCTTATTTTGCACAGTACGTTTATTAATTTTTTGAAAACCAGTAATTTTTTTCAACTTCGTGTGAAAAAAATTGACAAATCATCGACGTGAAGACGTTTATAAACGCATATTGTAGCGAGAAACTTGTCATTTTCGGGCCGGTTTTTGCAATCACCGCGTGCATAAATTCGTCTGAATGTTCTATTGTCATGGGTGGTGCTTATCAAAATACAAAATATTAAATGCTCTTTTTTTTTGTCTATTTAAATTCCTAATTGCAAATAACAGTTAAAGATTTGTGCATATATCAGTAAGGGTGCATTTTAGTACAAGAGACACAGGTTACCCGTCAATTTTGGTAATTTTCCGGGGGGTACGTTTATTCCGGGGGTATGTTTATTTGATTTTGAAGATTTGTCCGGGGGGTACGTTTATTCCGGGGGGTATGTTTATTCGGCAGATGAGAGTACTTTGTTCCATCGAGCAGAAACAATCATCACAGATCCTCAGGACAAAGTGAAAAAGAATTTAGGTCATGTGATTCAATCTTTAAAACTGTGTTTGTGGATACCCTGATTGGGCTATTGACAGCACCAAAACCAGTCAAATCAGTACAGAACCAAATTGCGCCTTGGTCGAGGATACGTCTTGACCATGAGTGAAGGTGAACATCATTACAGAACTTATTCAAATCATGCGAAGGTATGAGATCGTGGAACTCTAGTTACTATTGACACTAGGCCAGACTTGCACCAAACCTGCTTGACATTCTACTTTAACTTAGTTTAAGGGTTGCAGGTTGTGTGTCAGGACATTCATCTGTGTCAGGTAATTGTCTTCGTCAGAAGGACTATGAAATTGTCTCGCCGGAGTGTGGGGAACTGCGGATTTTGCGTTATAACTCTGGAAGGCATGATTCGACGTCCATGATTTTTGGCAGGCAGATTACAGCTGTTGAGGCCGAAGTCAAGTACAAGTTTCGGCTTCGTGGGGGGTCCGTGCGTCACGTTAGTGCACCTTTTGTGTTTGTGGCTTGTTAGCAAGATAACTCAAGTATTTGTAAAATGTTGATTATAATTCTTGGTGTGGTGCTTACTATTGTCGGGACCAAGGTTAAGTTCGTTACTGAGCTTCGTGGGGGGTTTCGTTGTGACTACAGGGGACATTTTGTTAATTTTTCTTGTGAGCAGGATAACTTTTGTATGTGTGGATGGTAGTTAATGAAATTCGATAGGCATGTTACTGTGGTGATCTCCAAGATTGAGTTCAAAGATGAGAGTCGTGGAGGTCGTTATGTCCCCGTAATAGGACCTTTTGTGTTTAAAAATCCCCCACCTACATCTGCTTGGAGACAGCCGACAGCTGGATATAGCTGGGGAAACCCATAATGGGATGGGATCAAATGACGTTACATTGAGGGATTGTACTATAACTTCAGCAGGGGGAGGATAGGTTGGACATATGTCAGGTTATTTTCTACGGCCACAGCAAGTAATTGCTATGGATGACGTCCACTGGAGACTTTAAATCTAATTACCTTAAATTTAAGGCAAGCGCGCAGTAAAAACACGAAGGGCCGAAAAATGAGATGCCTAGATTTGGAATATACTAACTGTAGAAGTACAAATGTTACGACACAAAGAACACAAGTCTTCTATTTGTCATAAAGACAAATTAACAAAACAGCAGCCAGTAGTAACCCTGTTCTGATTCTTTCCTTTATAACATCTTCTCTTATTATATTTTGTGACACTGTCGTGACACTTTCAACACAGTAAGAATTTCTTGAACTTTTTTTTTTCCAGTAACAGTCCAAAACTCAAATAACGTAGGGGGGGGGGGGGGGCTAACACGGCAAACCGTTTCAGGGTGTTCTGTACCATAAAAATAGTACAGAGATTCTTTTGTTCTTTAGACCAAATTGATTATTAAAAAGAGTGAAGAATACGCATGTTAATTTCTCTAGAACGATGTACCTCTGACGAAGACATGAGATCTCCGACCTCTAGTTTTTTATGTTTAACTGCACCAGTACCGGTTGCAGAAAACTATTTTGAGCCCTGTACAGTCTTGTCATATTTACTGCCACTCACTCTTACCATTATCTTTCTTTGCAGGTCTAGAGAGCTTTGCAGAGTTCCTAATGGGTCCTGAGAGATTCAAAGAGGTCATGCCATTCAATGGTAGGTTATATACTGACCACTGCAGTTAAACTTCACCTTCACCTTGACACATCCTGGTCTTTAGGGTTGAGGAATATTGTCGCATCAGGTACCAGTACCAGTAAGACAAAATTTTTTGATTACGCCACAGCAAGTAATTTTTATGGATGACATCAGCGTATGCATTAATTTTCGCCAGGATATGGGGGGAAAAAATTGAAATTTTGTTGCCCTCCAACAGTGGTCAACATGCCGAAAATGAAAAAAAGATGTCTGTTGCCATGCCGGAATGTGGATGGCAGATAAAATATATGAAGAGAGAAGATGTTGTTTTGTCTTTTATATGCGATTACCGGGTGATGTTCCCTCTGAATCAAAACCATTTGTACGATGATTGAAAACTTTTATTTTTATGTTTACGTACCGAAGGAAAACATACTGTTCTTGCTACATTTCCTCTTCTTCTTCTTCCTTTCCAAACACTGACCTCTGACCTGGCCAATGACCTGATTTGTTGACGTCTATTCCCAAAGTGCTGCACTTTTATAGCAGGAGGGATTTATACTTCTGTGTGACCATATATATGAATGTATTTAAGTAAGAATTAACAGAGCAGACCATATGCAAACGTAAACATGAAATGTTGTTTGTGTTGCAGGTTTTGAAGCTGTTGACTGCCCGGATTGGGAACCCTCGTCAGAGTGTAGGTTGTGCCATGCACGCAGGGAAGTTGTTACGGTATGTTGGCAGCACCATCATGGTTTTGCTATCGACATGTAGTTCCCCTTGCGGAGAATAATACAGCAAGTAATATTTCAAAAATATAAAATTCAGTAAGAGACTGAACGGTATTTCTTGAAGGGGGAGGGGTCTGGTGCACTTGAAGTCCGGTCCAAAAATTTTTGACAGATTACATCATACCTGCAGCAGCTTAAAAAACGTTGGAGAGTTGAAAATAACTGTTGTAAAATCAATGTCCAACCTGTTTTGCGGGCCGATTCTAGCAGCGTTGAATTCAATATGGCTGCCGATCGCCGTGGATTTGTATGGAGTTACGTGCTCCGAGGCCGTGTTGTGGTTAAATGCTGCAGTTGTTTAGGGTCTTATCCCCCCGGCCCGACAGGTGAGTGCGTCGGGAAGCCAGCGACACCAAAAATTCGGAGCCAGTCCGTTGCATGAGGTTCGGCACGGCAAAAGTTGAATCTGGTCTATGGAGTGCTCCACGACTCGGTATCCTGTATTATCATACATAAGGATTACTTGAGTCGTCCACGGCTAATTTTGTCCCTAATCCATTATCTACAATTACCTTGTATTGTTCTGACAGGAGTCACTGGAACATCATAAAGAGCTGATAGAGAGACAGCGCACACTAGAAGAAGCCCACACACAAGGTATAGTTACGTGATATGTATTTACATAAGTAATGAGTAATTTCCATAAATTTGCTGCATTCCATAATTAAAAAGATAATAATAGGTACATGGGTGTATGGAACACTTGTGACATATGTAATTGGTAATACCCTTAAATGAAACGTCATCTAAAGTATTGGCAGTATGTCACGCAAAAATATTGTTTTTCCTGTAATCAGAAACAAGTTTCTATTGTAGCCTGTGCCTGCTACTAGTACTTGTGCCTGCTAGCCAGGAGCCATCCAGCTGTAGCACAAAACAGCCTGTCAGAGCTGTGTCATCCAAGATACAATGCATGCACTAGACTAAAGCCTCGGTCACAACCCGCCGTACGTGCTTTTTCTCCATACGTTTTTTTTTGAGGCTACGTCTGCTACATTTTTTCTGAAACGTGGGGAAGGAGTGGCGTCTACGCACGTCACTCGCACGGTTGCACAAAGTGTAAGAGTGTGTCTGGCCGTGAGCGGTTGCGTGCATCGTACGTTGCGCAAGTGGTAAGTGAGTTGTACGTACTTACAACGTACAATCTCTGTGTGATTGCAACTTTACACGTGCTTCTTCCGCACGGCACGTACGGGGCATGCGCGTCGCTCGTACTCGCACGCACGGGTGGTGAATCCGCAGACCGCACGTAGAAAAAGTTTTACATGCACTTAAAGTTCTACGGCGTGTCTGCGTGCCCCCAAATCCGTAGGATTCCGTACGGAGGCGGTACTCACCACGCACGGATGCCCTACGTTTGCCCACGTTTTTGCACGTAGACAGCACGTACGACGGGTTGTGACCAAGGCTTAAGTATGTTCAAGTGTCAAGCTTGACTAGTGCCTTGCAAGTAACCACAGTGACCAAGATTTTTCCTGTCCTTCCAGACTTCCCGGGTTCCTATGTGCCCTTCAAGTTCAGCTCAGCTCAGGAAGCCATACGGCACCTGGCATCCCATCATGCATCAAAACAACAACAATCCTCCCAGAGTGCCTTGCAAGAAGATTCGGACAATCTAGATTCTGAGGAAGACGACCTGCCCCCCTCCCCAATGAACAATTCCTGCAACGGGAGTGGTGCAAGGAAGCTGCGAAACTCTCCATACTTCCTGAAAATTCCTAGAGTTCCATTTGGGTAAGTCCAATATCCATTTTTTTTTCTTTGGTTGGTAGTTTGTTGGTAAGATCTACATGTATGCTTCTTTCCCAACTTGCAAAATTCATCTGTTCCACTAACTAAACTAAGCTAAACATTCTGTGTGTTTTAACCATCACAGCCTCTCCTTTTCTTTTTTTTTTACTAAACCTGACTCTTTGCATCAGTTTGCATCTGCGCTTCACCTCTCTGGAACATTTGGTGTTCCTACCAACAATCATTGATAAGTAGTAAAGTACATGAAATTTGTAGGTTACTGTGACTGTATATACATTGCATATATTACAGAAACTGCATTTTAAATGAATTGGGTTTGCCGCTACAGATACAAGTGCAATTTTAGATAACATGTTATGGCATCAAGTTTGTGGTAACGTCACACTCACTTGTTAGGGACAAAACAGACAACTACACCACTTAAAACAAGGTTTTCAGCAAAATAATGTCCCCACTGTTAATCTGGTTCTCTGTCCACACCTCCACCTGTGTATAATCTTCAGTTTTCCCCCAGAACCCATGACCTAGTATCGGGGTGTCTATTCTGCTAACACTGTAGGAAATTGTCCTGTAACACAACCCCTAATGCTTCTTACATGATTGTATCTTCCCAAAAAATCCACCCTCCTTAAAAGCAGGTGATAATTGTAAGAGCAAGAGTGTTTGACCGAGAAAGGGTTTTGTGTAAGAGGTCAGATATTTTCTGCAGAAGACTTTTATAGCAACCGCGTATTAAAGAGCAACGTGGCGAAGACAAACACCGACACACAAGTGCCTGTGATGTTACCCAGACTTGGCCCTAAGGAACAAGCATCTTAAGTCAGCTCCTTCGTCTTGTTCCAGGCATCAGGGAAGGTCGAAGCACTCTCGGCAGACGTACTCACCAAGTGACCTGTCCCGAGCCCTCCACGATGTGCGGGCTGGCAAGCTCGGAACCAGGAAAGCCTCCAACGTGTACGGTGTCCCCAGGTCCACCATACGGAACTACCTTAATCGGAAGAACTGCGAAAATCTGACGGAGCCAAAGCAGGAGTCGGAGAAGATAACGGAAAGTGAGGGCCCGCCCGTAAAAGTAGGAAATCGCCTGCGCACGTTGTTAGAAAGCGTGAGTGGGAAGGCACAGGCGGTGCTGGAGAGGGAGGCAGTTCTGCGCCGTGCTCTGAACAGTCATCAGGAATCTGTGGAAGACAAGGGAAGGCACAAGCAGAGCTATGCAAACGAGATCAAGCTCCCCATCACCTCCAGCATCCTGAGGTCCCTCGCGGTGGCGAGGATGCAGGAAGTCCAGAGCAAGGAGAAGAAGGACCACCACAGAGAAACACAAGTGCCCAAGGTGCCCAAAAAAGCCATCCAGCTGAAGATCCCTAGGGTGGCCCAGCGCACGGGGCGGACTAAAGCGGAGCAGAATGAGAACGCAGAAACCACCTCGCAGCAGCTGAAGACCAAGCTCAGGACCTCCATCGTGTCCAGGGGAGGTTTCCACCAGATGGACCACCACCCGTTTGAGTCCGGTCTGTTCGGCAGAAACCTGTCCAAACCGCCCGCCGGGAACTCAGGGAACTCTCGCCACCACCACGAGGCCTCCTCGCGGGACGCCGCCAACTCCCCGCGCAGGAAACGAGGGCGCTACCGCTGCTACACGCCAGACGACTTGGAAACGGCGGTTTCTATGGTAACGATGGGCCTGATGAGCATCAGCCGTGCCCAGCAGCTGTACAGGATTCCACACAGCACGCTGGAGTACAAGGTCAAAGAGAGGAGGTCCGAGTTGAAAGAAGCCGCCGAAAGGAACCGTCTCTTCTACTACCCTGCCTACATGCACGGAGCTAGCGGTGGCAGTGCGAGCCCGTACCCTTCTCCGTTTTTCCAATGGGCTTGGCCACGGAGCCAGTATTATGTGCAGGACCATGCTAGTAACAGTCATGATGTGAAGGAAGGTAGTGGAGGCCATGATGAAGATGACTGTGTAATAGTGGAGGAGTTTCACCCTTCTGGGCAAGCTTCTTCCTCCATGTGATTAATCTGTACCCCTGCTACAGTGCCTCAGTTCAACCTTTCCCAGATAAATGCCTTAGGATAGTCTCCACAGAGGTTTATTCCATACATAGAACTGTTGGTCTAGTTGACTGTTATTTAAATAAAAACTGTCTGCCTTTTGTGAGTGATAGAGGTCAGCCATTTGGAGTCAGGCATTATCAACAGCACAACTCACTCACTATTGTGGCTTAGATGATACTTCTAAGGGGTATAGTAAAAGTCATGTGGGATAAACTACTAATTACTATTCCAATGTGTACAAGAATTGTCATATCAAGAGAAAGAGAACTAGAAATTTCTAGTGAAGTGCTGTTTGTTATAAACATCAGCTTTTCAGTGACTTTTTCCTTTCCCTGTAGATTAAGATGATTTGGGGTTTATTTGGCAGACATTGTGAAGGCAATCAAATATGAATTACAGAAGGCACAAATGTTCATGATTACTAGTAAATGTAACATGTACACAGAATATATAATAGCTTAGGAAAGTTGCATGCTATACTACGACAATTAGAAACTTATTCATATATTTGCTTAATTTAAAGTATAAATTGTGAGATATATATTAGGAGAGAGCATCATTATAATTGTTTGGTGGTAAAATTATTTGATGATTGTTGAAAGTGTCCAGGGGTAGGTCATTCCTTGATGATTTTTGTTGCACATTAATTTAGTGATGGGTAACGTATGTTAGGTAAAATAAGTTCTTTGTGCCTGTGCAATATTCACAAGGTCCCATTTGAAATGTTTAAAGACTTTATTAATTCTTAGAATGAATATTGTTGTTAGAATGTATTTAGTGTTCTGTAAAGCCCTTTATTCTATTACAAGTATGAAATTTGAGAGATCAAAGAGAGTTTGCGAAGTGGTGTAATTAATTCCTTTATACATTTCATACTTTACATGTAGACGTCAATTGTTAATGCTGGGTTAGCTGCAATTGTAAGATGTAAGTACTTCTACTGTAAGTGTAAGTGCAAGTGTAAAAAAAAACAATTAGAGGCCTTGAACTGAAGCATATCAAGAATGTTTCTAGATGGCAACGTACATGTAGTACTATGTTGTAAGTGAAATGGAAGATGATTCGGTGCATGTTATCTCAACAAGCACTTAGACTTACTGAGCATCCAGCAAGTAACATTCCCATGGAATTATATCAGTCTAAACTGCTTTAAATTACAGGTTGTATAAGACTACCTGTCAGGAACACCCTAATGAATAATAATACTATACATGTATCAGGACCTAGAAGTTTAAATTGTAACAGTTGAATTTATTAGCTCAGTGTAAGCCATCTACTCAGCTACAGGTTGACTGTAGATTTGGCAAAGACGGCCTTGTTCTCAGCTGCCACACCACATACTAAATCTAACGTCATTCCAACCCCTTTTATTTGCAGTTGAATTGCTCCATGGTCCTTAGTTGATCCACCATTGCTAAGGAACCTCTTTTCGCACAACAGTTTGTTGAAATTTCACATGACTTTGACGTATGGAGATGAAATCAGACCAAGCAAGTTGTATTGTAGAATCAACATCACACGTTGTATGGCATGATTTTGTACAATTTGGGCACATGCATCTGCATCTCATTCTCAGCCCTCGAATGTTGATAATTTTATATTATGACAAAAATTGAATCTTTGCTCTTTCATATACACAAGATTTTCTGCTGGTTTGAAATCTTTCGATGAAAATTAATGATTGAAAACCCAGATAGGCCATTACAGGGGTATTTTTTTTCAATTTAATAGGAATAACAAATGGAAGTTAATTTTTTTGTAGATAAAACTGAAAAGATACTGGTACAACATTGTATGTGTTGTATATTCCATTGACAAGCTTTCTTAGGAGAATTGTGGACCCCAGAGTCATAGAACAAGTAGCCTCTTGTCTTGAGTTAAATAAAACTTGCTGGAACTCTAAATGTGGTGTGGCGGCAGCCATTGTACACTATTGTATTATTGTGTAGTAAAAGGAAATGAATGGGGGCTTGTTGCACCAATATGGATATTGATTATGTAATAATTATTATTACAATGTACATGTCGGTATCATCCTTTATGTTTTCTGTGAACAAATCATCAGAGATGATTTTAAAGAAGTAATAATTATCAAAATATACATGTTAAAGTATATACTTTATTTAAACCTGAGGTGATGGTGTTGTGCACAAAGTATAGTTTGCAGTTATTGTTCAGTACTGTTAAGTAATATACATTTGTACCTCCTTTATTGTTATATCTGTGTATTGTGATGTATAAGTCAGTCATGTTATAGTTTTCATATGTAGTGAATGGATCAGGTGGAAGTGTTGTCTTGTGATGAAATGTAAACTGTACAAGCTTTAGAGGTGATGTCTTAACCAGAGCTGCATGACTTTATATGCAGGAAACAATAACGTGCTGTTGTAGCACGTCGGCAGAATGTACTGCACCTGCGCGAAACCTGTAATGTGTTGAGCACTGCATTTTGTCTGAGGAACGTCTCATATAAGGTAGTATTCTGGCATATAAGGTTAACACCCCCTCTGTAGTTTCTAAATGTTATGTCAGAAAAAATATTGTTTGCAACAGTCAAAATTCTATTGCAATGTTGACCAAAAATCCAACGAAAACCATGAAAAATGGGGGGTTCGCGCAGGTGCAGTATGGTCTGCCGACGTGTTTGGCATTGTTGTTATTGGTTTTCAGGACAGAAATGTCAAGTCCAGGCCCTACATTTAATGCAAAAATTGTCATAATTTGATATCTATTTAAAAGTGTACTAACATTCACTGAAGATAATGTCGGTTGAATTGTTCTACCAAAGTGCATAATCATGTGATAATTATACAGATTTGTTTGTTATTGAACAGAAATAGTAGCAAATCTGTGAGGATATGTAACATTCCATGCCCTGGATTGTAAATGTACCTTGCCCACTACTTTGACCTATACTCATGCCCTTTACATATCTACATTCTGTTGATTCAACTTTCAAGAGTTTAGTGCATTCATTCCTGTACATCCAGATCGAAAGAAATTTGAGCAGAATTAGGTTAATCTTGTGAACAGCACTCAAAAGAAACCAATTATTGTAAGCTCTGCCAGACTGCCACTATTAAAAGACTTATAGAAAAAGTGCCTGTAGAATTTTGAAGAAAAAAAAATTGTAAAGCAAATTAAGCCAGTAAGGCCACACCAATATAATTTGTTGGTTCTCGGATTTTTTCAGAAAAAATATTAAGCGACATGGCGAAAAAAAAAAAAAACTGGTCCAGGCATCCTCTTAAAGCCCCAAATGCTATGATAGGAGCCATGAAGTCAACACAAAGGGCTAGACCTATATCTAAATAATGAATTTTGAACTCTTAATCAAACCACTGCATTGATAGATGGATCAACAGTAAAAAGTAGGAAGAAAAGGACTTTCCTGAAGTGTTGGGGACAAAATATGAGCATTTTTGAGTTGATTCAGAAGCAGAATCTTTTTTTTTTTTGCAAATCAGAAAAAATGAAGAGGCAATCCGAGAACCAAGAAATTGAATTGGTATGGCCTTAATAGCTATCATCAACACTTCCCTAAATTTGACTCGAATAGATTTTGGGATCTGCAGCTCTGTGTTCTTATGGTTATGTAAGATTTATCTCAGACCATTCTACATGTATACTTGTTTGGATCTTAAATGCTCCATTCCCTTCTTGCATCAACCTGCATACATTTACACCTTGGTTGTAGCCTCTTGACATACATTGTACATGTATGATTGTTGTGTTCAGCTGCTTGAAAGTGTTTACACCTGTAGGTCACCAAGACTATTTTAGTTGTTAAATAAAGTAAACATACTATCATCAAAGAGGTGGTTGGTTATACAAAAGGGTCTAAAAAGTAAAGACTTGGAACTGAACACTACTAACTAAACAGTGTCCTCTACAGTGGGTAACTTGACAGGTACGAAAAACAGTTGGCATTTTTTGTGTTTCCCTATATTTTCTTGGTGGTTTAAATATGAAGCTGGCCTTCAGTATCAATGGTCACAAAGATTGAATAAATGACAAGCAGAGTTAATGGCCCCGGTTTTGTTTTTATGTGGAGGTTTTACTTTGATATTGTGTTGACAAGAACAATTGAACTTTACAAGACTGACCTTCCTACATGTCCTTCCTATGGGCAAAGTTTTTATTGTAATAATAAGTGAAAATTCATACAATAAGAAATGAGTTTTGGAACACTCACACATAAATAAGAAGATTTCATACGTCCATGAAATATTTTTCCCACTGGGACCCGCTGCCAACAGACTTCTGGCCAACTTTCTATTAGATGCTGGCCAGCTTCTTGGACCTACATGTATTAACTTTCTGTGTCTGTGACTTTTAATGGTCTGTGGTTAGGGAATTTTCCCCACCCACACGGCGCTGTAACGAAACAAACTCAAAAGTAAACATCCAAAACAATACCTCCATACACCGTCTGAGGTAATTATTGAGACTAATTGCGTCCGTGTTATCAATTTTCAACATGATGAAAACAGCCAGTGTGACGTAGGATATACAGCCAAGAAAATCGCAGAAGGCATTCAGTCATACATTTGTAATGTCATTTGTAATAGAGCAACAACAACAAAAAATGGATATGTTTTATGAAGTTACAGAAACAAAACATGAGAACTGGTAATATCAACAGCAAACTGATTCTCCCAGCTGGGATAGTACCAACACTTACAAGACACACTTTCGGGGTTTTCTCAAATACAGTCAAACCTGAAAAGATGACCACCCCTTCAAGCAGGCATATAGTGACCGGTTTTTCTCGGTCCCAAGAGTTCTTCCCCTTGACACAAGCATTGAGCAACCTGTCCAAGGTGACCACCTGGCCAACGTGACCGCCCTGAGTTGGGTCCGCTCAAGGCCCGATACCTGTACGTGGTGACCACATCATTTTCTATCATGTTGATTATTGATGATAACTAATGAGAAATCATGGAGAAACAAGCCAGTTTGCCTTGACTGCCGAATGATTTTTAGGTTCAACGTAAATTGTTCCATGTGCCACCCTCCCTACAACATGCATTCACCACAGAACTGAAGATGCTTACAGCATTTGATACTAAAACATCTCGACTTGGAAACCATTTATGTCTCAGTCATGTTGTGAAGTGACTCTCTTCAAGGAGACCACCTGTCCAAGGTGACCACTTTTCTTTGGTCCCCTGGGTGGCCGGCTTGAACAGGTTTGACTGTAGTTAGGGGTTAGGCAACAGGGAAATGACGTGACAGAATGTGATTAGCATGCATGACAAATGTGATATTATAACACTACATACATGTACATGTATTAGGTAAGTTAGGCAACAAACATTTACAAGTGATCAATTCATTTGTTCCTTATACATCCTGTAACAGCTACTGAGCTTGCAAGCTTTTTATTTTTCTTTTGCATACCAGGCTAGTTGCTAAAGCATCTTTTGCATTGTTTATGTCATTTCTCCATTGCAAGAAGTGCCCTTGATACACATGTTCATCTATATAGTATACCATGTATAGCAACATCTGTCCATACTTGTAGCTTATTTTGTGGATTTTGCCATCCGTACCAATTTCGTACTGTTTTCGTACTGGAATAAGTCAACACTTTATTTAATTTGTTATTGTGTATACATGATCGATGAGGTAGGTTCACAATTTTTGCAACCTCATCTATAACTCAGATTTGAGGGGGTAGCTATAAACTCAATTTAAAGTTGGTATTTGTCAAATCTCATTGTGATCATTTCTTTGCCCCTGACACCCTTTTTCAAATGAGTAACTGTACATTAGGTGAGAGAGGGAAAAGCATGGGCACTCCATCTGCACAAGAGGTGCGAGTCCAATTACCCAGGCCTTACAGTTTAGCTAGGGAGGGATTTTTCACCAAACATTTTGAGCATGGCTTCCGTAATTTCATGACAAACAACTGAAATCACAGCCCCAGCGCCTTCCTTTCACGTTACCTTTACTTGCTGATTTTTCCAAAAAAAGGCCACAAAATTTCGCAATGATTCAAGTTTTGAAAGACATTGACAGAAGGCTGTGTGATTTTGTAAAATGTAATTTTAGTCCTGTCCTTTGTGTGTGAGGCGATGGCCATTTTGAATGCCCCTGATGTGTTTAATTAATTTCCATGTATGATAAGGCACTGTATTATTAATTAGTGTGTGTACAAGTGGATACAATCCATATTAGCAATGGAGGAAGATAACATAACAAAGTTTTGTGCCTTATTTAGTAACTTATTTAGTGTCACTGTCAGAGTAAGTCATTGGGAACTCTTACTCACTTGTGAATTTTCAGACTATAGTCTATTATTATAGTGTACATGTATTATCGTATCTTTACATCTTGCCTTCCTTGCCTTGTCTGACAATGTGATCACGATGTGCTATCCACACTGCACAACAATTCCTTTTTCATCTTCCTACAGTCATGATGCCCAGGAGAAGGTATCTCACAGACACATCAATGAAGTGATGGATCCCACGGCTGGACACCTCAGTATACCTGCTACAACAATGAAGACTTCATCGACTGCCTCTGCTCAGCACTGCAATGGAACTGACCCTCAGCTTAAACCAGAAAAGTCTCATTCAGTCTGTGACAGTTCCCTGCACCAAGCCTTAGGTAACTGTCCATCATCAAACAGAAATGTCTCACCTAATGTATTACATCAAAGCCTTACGAGACCAAATAGCTCAAGCCCTGTACCCACAGAAGTACACAACCTTAACAGCAACACTTATAATGATACAAGGTGCCTGGATGAAGATTTCCTCTTGTGGGTTATTTATTCGAAGGGAAGAAAAGGTAGACATTTATTCAGCTTGGAGGATTTGGAGATGAACTGTAGTGATACTGAGATTGTCAGTAGTGTTACAGTAACTGATGTTGTCAGTCAAGCTAAGGCAGCTGTTCCTCCTGCAAGCGCAGCCAGGGATACAACGGTCCGCAAACCACCTACCTCAGCCGATGACAAGGTGCAAGAAACACACACATCAACCACTTGCCAACTTACAAGCAATCTCAAAACATGCCAAAACAATAGTTCTCTTCAAGACATGATTTCAGGTGAGCCAAGCAGTGACAAGCTTGAAAAGGAGTGCAAGGTAGAGGCTGGTCAAGTTGGTGCCAAAAATGACCCAATAGGAAACATACATGAAGGTAAAAGCATTAATTACAGCGATGTGGATTTTGATGAGAACAAAGGTTGTGATCTCCATGCTTCATACCTGTTCAAACCGGTCAGCCTATCATCTGGCCTCTTGCCATCTGACAAGTCACAAAACGACACAGACAGTGACGCATCAAGCTTCTGCAGCATCTCTCCTCCCAGCCTCAGCCCTGTCACTGATTACGACACTTGTTCAGACAGGGACCTGTCCCAGTCATCAGTTTACTCTTTAGAAGAGAATGAGGATGAGAGTGAAGATCCGCCCCCTCCTATTCTATTTCCCATGCCCACGATGTCTTGGTCGATCACGTTCTGCCCAGCCTTGAAAAAGGAACCCCAAAGCAGCATGTCTGAAGACCAAGATGGCTGCGAGGTATTGTACCCCACTGATGCAGAAAATGCCAGCATGGGCACAGATTCAGGTTCTCAGTCATGTTCCAGCGGTGATAGCATTTGCAGCAATGAGAATTCCACAAACTTCATCTGCCCACCCATAGACAGCAGCTCTGGTGTTGGTGAGGTTGATGATGCTCACAGTGATAATGTACCACAGACAAGTAAGGCTTTGTCCAGTAGCCTGTGTAAAGATCTATCAACTAATGATCAACAAGCTTTATCCTGTATCGATACAGATGTTGAAGTTGCAGGTAACTCAGAAAACACAAAGAAACAGACATTTCCCAAGGAAGGTTTGGTAACTGAACATGGTCCTCGACATGCCCTCAAAGTTTCATACCTTCACTGCCTTCCACACAGGCCTCTCACAATGTTACAGAAGGGAAAATGTGTGGATGATGAACACAGGCATGTAGGGAAGGGCCACTATCTTCTCAACAGGTCCACAGCAAGGAAAGCTTCAGTTAGTGATCTCCAGCAAAAGGCTAGGATTTTCCCCTGTCATGTTCGATTAAGGAAGCTGAGTAGCAGACAGATTCCCCAGTATGGCACTCAGCCTCAGAGAACGGCACCAGTGCTTCTGGGCAGACGTGGAAGGCCGAGGAAGTGGATGTGGGTGAAAGGAAAGTCAGGGAAGTTGGTTCGAGTCCTGATTCCAAAGAAAGAATTGGCACCATCCGGTGTAGGGGACATCGAAGTGTTGAGAAAGTTACGGCCCTCCGCTCAGAGAGAGGTGAGAGAGGCTCAGTTAAAAACTGACCAGGTCCGAGCTCCTTCCAAGAAAGATGACAACAATGCCACACGCACAGCCCTCAGGCCCCTACCAGTGAGACTAGCCAAAATCAATGACAAGAAATCTGAAAACACACCAAGGAAGCAGTATAACTACAAAGAGAGCCAGCAGTCTATGCAGCCTGAAACAAGCGATAAAGCAAAGCCAGTGCCAGGTGCTTTTCCTATTGTGAAGCAAAGGCATGCATCAGTTGAGGAAGATGAAGTTGATTTCAAATGGACTGTGGCCGCTTGCAAGAAGGTACAAAGTACAGATCTCCCATGCACTTGCACCGTAACTACTCCCCTTGGCAAAAGCTATGAAGTGGGAAACTGTGTGCCTTCAGAGAAGGACACTGCAGGTCTTGCTTCATTGTCTGCAGGACCAAAGCTTGTCAGAAAAAAGGGGAACGGTCAGAAAGAAAAAGTGAAGCAAAACAATGAAATGGCGCTAGGGATACGCACATTGCCACACAGGAGAGCTCGTACTAAAGTGCTAAAGGCTTTCCACGCAGTCATCTTGAAAAAGTACCAGAAGCCTGAGAGCTTCATGCCCGCTGCTATCAGGAAACTCCGGCAGCTGCCATCGAGAAACAAACGCCTGCGGGAGAGCACCAAGAGTATGCCCTCTCTGAGGAAAACAAGCAGGAAGCATTTGCTGAAGACTTTACAGAAAACAGCAGATTGTGAGATGTCAGAGAAATATTGCCCCAAAAGGGAGTTAAGAATCGTTTCACATGGCTTCAGTGACAGTGTAAAGGAAAGAACTGTTGATGATGGTAGCAAAGTTGCCCTTAATATCAAACACAGCACAGATGTGCACCATGATTGTGTTGATGTTGAGGAACAGATGCAAGTAGAACAGTGCTCTGTGGTGCTGCAGCCCATCTCTCCACCTACAGTTAAGTCAATCATTGCTGATGCCTCAGGAACCCAAACTCAGCTTGAAGACTTTTCATCCGCTAAATCTGAGGAGAACATGGAAACAAGAGACGTGCCAGTTGTGAAGCAGGAACGTGAAGATCCACTCGATCACGATGGGCCTGGAATGATCAAAATTGATGCAGAGGTCTGTGAGAAACGACGGCTGAGAGTTCTGCCTGAGAGAGTGGCAAGACTGCGAGAGGAAGAGAGGAGACGGGAAGCTAAAAACACTGTCACCTTCACTACAGCATGGCCAAGTCACGAGAAACAGACAAGATGCCTGGATGATTCTCCATTCGATAAGAATGCAGGCACAAAGGATATGGAAAACCCTCCTCTTTCAATTAAAACAGCAGATAATTCTGTAGTTCTGAATTCCAAGATTGATTCTAAATCTAACCCCAAACACAACAAATACCTTATAAATGATGGGATCTCTGGCAGAACAGTGCATAACAATGCACAAGAGGAGACAAGAATACAAGACATTACTTGTAAGACAGAGGGTGAAGATATTGATGACGAAAGAAAGTTGCGAAGCTTGCCTTCTAGAATGGTAGCACAACCAAACAATGCTTGGGGAGTGAAGAAGGCAAGGGGAAGACTTCGGAAACATTTGCTATTGCCATCAGATTGTGAACCCCTGGCAAAGAAACATCAAGGTAGACCAGGAAAGCATGTCCTCCCTGAGTCCCTTGATAGTACCATGTACACCACAAGGCATACAAAACATGGTGTGGAGACAGTGTCAGAAGTCAAAAGAAGGCCCATCTGTGTAGATCAAGCGACCAAGTCAGATGATTGCAGCAGGGAAAGAGTGAATAGCAGCCCGTCCAGTTTGGTACATGGCAGCCTTACAAATGGGGTTACCTTTGACAGACAACTTGATATGGCCAATGTTGCTTCAAGTCCAAACCAAGAAGGGAACAGCAGCACAGAAACTGATACCACAAGCATGGAAGCAGCAGCAGCCACGTGTGACTTCATGGTGAAGAGGAAATTGGCCCAGAAGACTGATCTAAGATGTGAGTGCATGTCCCTGAACACCAGTCTTACACTCCAGTACCAAGATGCCATCATCAGCAAGGGCTGGGTGAAGACATCAGAGAAGCCAGGAAGGAGAGACACCAGCCTTATACAGAGTCTGTTCACTCAGCCAGTGACCTATAACACCATCATGACATTAGTGGGGAGTAGTAACAGTAGGATGTTCCAGAGCCAGGAGCAAGTGGCCTTAACTCAGGTAGTAACGGCACCCAAGGGTAAAAAGGGCATGCACATTCAGCAAAATGGCACCAAAGGTTTAAAGACAAAGAAGAAAAGATTTGAAGAAGTTTCAGTGACCACCAACAGGAAGGATCTCATTGATGATGTGCCAATCTCACCTAGCAAGCCTATTACGATGCCGATTTCTTCACAAAGAGCAGCAAAACATCAGACAACTCCAAGAACAAAAATACACAGGCAGGCTGACAGACTCAGAAAGACTCTACGGAAATTTGCATCCGTGACTCCAGCAAAGAACCGCATCATTCCTCATGAAGATGTGGGTAGAAGGAAGTGCAAGGCTGCTAAGAAGCTGTTTATTGAACCAAGGAATCCTTCCATCCTGTGGTGCCACCATCCAAGCAGTGACTCCAAGACAAAAGGACCAAATGCAAAAAACAGCCCAAAGGCAGGAATCATCTCAGGGGCAAAACACAGCTCTAAGCCTCCATCCACTAACACTACTTCAACTGTCCAACCACCGGCAAAGGGTAGAATAGAAAACGTGTCAGACTCATCCTCCACTACCCTTTCAAAACCTGCCAGCTCTGGTGATGGCTTGTGCGGAGAAAGGGACACTTTAACAGGGCCTCCTGAAGATGGGAAGAAGTCACAGGGAAAGAAAACATCAAAGAAACACAGCAACTTCTCGCCATCCACATCAAAAGGCTCCACTCTAAGCAAAGTCAAGCCTAAAGTGGCATCCAGCAGCAGGAAACATGAAGTAGATCCAATCACTGCTATTGACCAATCAGATCACAGGGATGAGATTGCATCAAACACTGCGCAGGCTTCAAGGTCATCTGCAAGAATACAGCAGAAGCAGTTGTTGGGATTCTCCATTTGTCCCTGCTGTGCCTTAGTGGAAGCTGAGCACTTTGAACGGTTCAAGAAAAGGGTAAAAACCTCCAAGTCTGAGGAAAAGCATCAAACAGAGAAAGTCTCCTTACCAGCCAAGCAGCTTGTAAAGAAAGAAGGAAATAATACCAAGAAAGCTACTGGATCAGCTAGTCAGTCAGGCAAGCCGTTCAAACCCAAGAATAAGCCTGCTGCAAAAGGAAGGATACGGAAGTCTAAAGATGACAGGAATCCACAAGATTTGGGTTCGCCCAGTAGCTGTATTGTCAATAGCAGCTCTGACACTCCACCAGTAACTTGCTCTAGCAGTGAAGCTGTTTCTGAGAATGTTCCAGAAGATTTATCTTCCTCAGTTCCACAGTTAGTAAGGTCTAGTTCAGTCCCACCCATCTCCTCAACACAGTGGGGGAATCTAACGCATGGTGATCAAATCTTAAAGGAAGGCCCAGGTGCAAAAGACCAAGTGGCATCCCCAGAAGTGAGTGCTGAAGTACAAAATGGGGAAATGTTTTCAGACTGTGAAAATGTTGTTTCTTGTGAGGAAGATAATTATTGTCTTGATGAAGAGGGGTTTGCAGGGCCTCTTGATCTGAGAGTATCATGGAAGAAATATGAGCCTGTTTAAAGATACAGACTGCTTAAAGTTGCAGTCACTTCACCTTATGCTTTTCAGATTAGACATTTGCATTATGATATACAATAATCATGTACATGACTGACAGTGTAACACACACACATTGCTTTTCTTTTTGTCTGGCACAAAAAGAATTGTTCATTTAAACCTAGACCTGATTGATAGGATTGAATTTGAATGACAATACGTCTTTCAATTTCAGTAATTTTTCCTTATCAAATATGATTACCGTTTTCAGTCAAAATTTTTTGCAGTATTGTTCATTGCTTTGTCCAAGTACACAGATGGTTGCCAGATTTACCCAAATTGCACTAATCATCTCTAAACCAAATCTTTTTGAATTACTTGTCCAAAACGTATTGAAAATTGACAGAAAGCCTTGGGAAAAGGTTGATAGCTTTTTTATGCCACATGGGGATTCAATGTGGATTATAATTTGAACACCATATGAAGTCGAATTAACATACAATGTAGCCATTTGATCTAGTCTGTAGTAACCGTTGAAAAGGCATTTTCATTATACTAGTAACCATCATAGCAATGACAGGTTGAAACGTTTATGAAATAGTCTGTAAAATAATTAAATTTTGGTCACTACTGTATTATTCCTTTTGGAACATGATTGTTATGGAAAGGATGTAATACAGTTCTGCAATGGGACTTAAGATGGAAGGTCATCTTACTCAGGACCCTCTTGATTTCTCAGGGCCACATACATGTACATGTATGTAGCTGTGTAACAGTTGTTGTATATATGTACATGTATGTACATGTATGTAGCTGTGTACATACATGCACATGTATGTAGCTGTGTAACAGTAACTGTTGTATATATGTACATGTATGTACTAGCTGTGTACATACATGTACATGTATGTAGCTACAATGTATGTAACAGTTGTTGTATAACCTTGATGACTTTTATTGTTGTTTATTTGTCAGGGATTAAAATGTTCAATGGAGGATAATATGCTACATGTAGTTTAAAGATGGTTGTAAATGCCTGCATAATTTTTGATTACGGTACTAAATTATCATTAATTTTATATGCTGAAGTTGTACAATGGACAATTACATTTGTACCTTCGTCCAAACCTAATTTTTTATCTCTTTTAAGAGATCTACAATTATTGTCTTGTACTACTAAGTTGTAGATCTGAATTATTGTAGTCAGAGATGTGGGTTGTCATGAATATTTCTCAATGTGTTTCCTTGTAAGTTTGCTTATTTGTGCTATATTTTGTACTACATGTACAACATGACTGTAACATTATAGTACTTTAGACTGTAGATGATGAGATATGGTGGCAGTTTATGATTAGGACTCTAAATACTGAATGCATTATGCACCTTAGTGCAGGTAAAATTGGAGCTGTGCAGGTATTTCTGACGTCTACCTGCACCTAACCTGCACTGGTCCATGTACCGAGTTTATATACAAATGTAGGTTTATGCAGACTTTCAATACACATACTTTTATTTGCTTCATTCACTGTTAGGCCATGTTGATTTGATTATATGGGTGACATCCTCTGCGAACCACAAAACTGATGCAATCCTGCACATAAAAAGAAAGTTTGGCAAAAAAAAGTTGCATTTGTTTTAAATTTGTAGGTGGTCATGAAGGTTGAACATTAATAACTACACACACAGAGTAATATTTTATTGGCATGGTGAATAATAGACTGTTCATTTTCATTCCTTCACATTTTCTTCATGTCCTTTGGAATGGATTTTGCCATTCCGCAACATAAATATCATTTTCCAATATTTATGGCTTCACCAAACCACGAAGTGGTGAAACATTGTTTTCTCTCATCTCTCTCCTCCTGCCATTTTGTTAAATGGATTCAATTCCATCATTTTTGGGCCAATTGACATCCATTTGTGTGGGAGGGGGATAGGTCCATTTTTGGTACGGGGGATGTGGTGAAGCCATTTGCTGCATTTGCTCCCGAGCAAATGTCAGCCTTTCTAGTTTTTTTTTCACTTTACGGCATATATTTTCCTCATTTTGCAGCTACTTTATACGATACAGTATGTTCGAAAACTTTTTTTTAAACGGATGAAAATTCATGCGCACATGGATGTCATCCATATAATCAAATCATCATGGCCTTACCACATATTAAGTATAAAGAAATAATGGCAATTATCCATACTTCTCAAAGTCTGAGTGGTGCAGGTAATTTTTAATGTTACCTGCACCAGTGCAGTGTGCAGAAAAAAGTATTTATGTGAGCCCTGATCATACTGTTAATTAGGCAAAACTTGTTTTTGTGTAACGTTTGTGTAAATTGTCTCATTACTCATATTGACAGCTTCTCTTGATCATTACTTACACTCTTGTAATATTTGGCTACATTTTATTGTATTAATATCTAAGGTACCTCATACATTTATGATTCAGCCCTTCTATGCACTGTCCATAGTCTGAAGAAAAGTAGATGGACCAATTTTTGAAGACACACACATTTTTGGCCAATATCTCAGTAGTTTACAGTCCATTTTATACCTACTAACATTTGTACATTGTATACGAGCTTAATGTGACTGTTTTATGATGAAACTGAACAGCATGGTCATGCATGTACTGTAGTGAATATTAAGTTTAATTCAATCTTCATTAGCTTTATTTTATAGTTTTGACATAAATTTGAAAAGTATGTAATGGATTTGTATTAGCTGTTGTTGCACGTAGAGTATTATTATTATTATAATACTACATGTATTTGTATGTGTGTTACATTCATGCTACATTAAAGCTTCAAGCACAAAGTCTATAGGCAGGAGTGTATCATAGAAACAGCTACTGTTTTGAAGCTAGTGATGATTTACTTGCTTTTTTAGTGATGGATATTGGTGGAAACCATGTACCAAATTGAAAGTCACATCAAAATATCTTAAGAGTAGTGCCAATTTGATTTCATGCTTATTAGATGTTTGTAATGAGTGATTTTGTGGAATAAAAATAGACATTTTGTGATCATGAAGGACTCCATGCTTCCACTGTTCTCTGCATAATAGTTTGTGTTTTTTATTGTTCAAATAATGCAACACCAATTGATGGTTTTGCAATTTTTCATAAAAAATATGAACTGTAATATGAAGCAATTGGGCGAGAAAAAATCCAGGCCTAGCCATTGTTTTACATGTAGTTTTATAATAAGATACACAACAATTTTGCAATGTACACGTGTTTGGTATATCCAGAAAAGGTCTAAAGTATGATTTGCCTCACGACAATTAAAAAAAACAACTAGAGTTCAACGATCTCATACCTTCGCCAAATGATGTTAATCTTTATGACTGACAAAGTAAAGATTACTCCTCCTGATTATGCAAATAGGATTCTTATTTGCATGAATTATTTCAGTTGATCATATTCTCCACGAAAAGACAGCCTCATCTTAACAAAGAAAGCCATTCTATCATTTCCTCATAAATTATGCAAATGAGGACCTTATTTGACTAAGTTATGTTTAATGATGTTCACCTTTACTTAACTTTCAAATACCCCAAGTATGAAATTCCAGGCAGTTACCATTATGGAATTATAACATTTTCTCATTAATTATGCAAATTAAGTGTTAATTTATATAATCAATATCTGCCTGTGTTTCTCTTGTTCTCAATTACATATATCACAAGCTTAAATAGTCCTATAATGTAATGCAGCTGATTTATAGAATTTCCTCATAAATTATGCAGATTACATCCAGTTCAGCTGCAGTACCACAGCAAGCCGCTAGGGGGCCCAAAATCTAATCATTTTGAGGTCTCATCAAGACCTACCCACATACCAAGTATGAAGACAATCCATTTAAGCCTTCTCGAGTTATCATGTCCACAGACAGACTGACAGACACACGAACGCCTCTGAAAACATTGGCGAAGGTAAAAATCCAGCAATGACACCTAATGTATACAGAAATAAATGTATTCCCTTCCTGTTTATCTTTAAAACTCCCCAAAGTATGCTACAAGTAATATTACAGTTTCAAAATCAACATGGTACAATGGGTAAAACAAATTGTAAAATGCCAGTACAGGACAGATCCTTTGTACACAATGCAAGAAGTAAAGTCAGAAACGTAGGTTCACAAACACACTGTTAAAAGGAAATGAGAACCAGACTGAGTACATTCGCGAGATTGGGAAGAAGACAGTCATGGTGAATCTTTGTATCTATCCACTTACATAAATCTGAGGGTTGGAAGGAAAACCTGAATCTGATTCTGTTCATTCCTGAGACAGTCACAGACAAATTTTTCATGGAGGTAAAAACTCCTTAGCATCTACTTTTTTTGCCCCACAAGTTGGAAGTACTTTAACACACTTCAGGGCATCATGCGTTCGCGTAACTTTAACAGTCAAACGTTGCTGTCAACACACATGTATATGCCAAGAAGGTTAAATTGGACGCGACCACGGCGGCCTCAGACTATAAGCGCTGTAAGGGGCAAATCTCAGTGTGAGCTGTTACAGGAGGGCGTAACTCTAACAAGGCCACAGCAAGTAAATTTTATGGATGACATCCTCCGCAGACTCCTACATTTCCTACATTTTAAAATTTTCACTTAATCATATTTGTACAAATGGTTTTGATTCAGTGGGAACATCACATATACACAGCCAGCATCACATATCACTGCATCAAAGTAAGAAACAAAACATCAAATAAGAGCCTTTTCTTGACTCCTCTTTTCATAGTTATCTGCCATCCACCTTCCGGTATGGTAACAGACATCTTTGCCCATTTTCGGCATGTTGACCACTGTCAGAAGGCAAAAAAATTTGTTTTTTTTTTCCAAAAATCAGGCGAAAATTAATGCGCGTGCTGATGTCATCCATAAAAATTACTTGCTGTGGCCCAAAGGTCACCAAGCAATAAACCACGGGTCGTCTCAGAAATTCAAAACTTTATTCACCTGTCTTGGTTTACAGTATTTTAAAAGTTTTGATTTCTAACAACAAACATTTTTGTGAGCGTTTGTAACAGAAAATTCATTAGCAGCTTTATTATTATTACACATGAAGTATTTCGTTGATAGTTGAAAGCAGAAACAAACGACCGATGTGTTCTAGAACTACTATATGTCGAACTTTTGGTACGCTCCTTTGGCTACTGAATAACCGAATCTACTGAATCTACTGAATAACTGAGATAGTGATAAAATAACTTCTGGGTGCAACAATACTGTAACTTTTTGACCGGGANATTATGTATGTCGTTTTTTTTAATCTTAATTTTTTCTTCCAAATCGGTTTTGTAGTAAACCCTACCCATCAGTGAGAAGAATTTTCCCACAGCTGGTTACCTGGTGAAATATTACAGTCTGGGCAGAACATGTCGCCCTGTAAACATATTGCGACAACTTTGATAGTAACTTTTTTTCTTTTTTTATATATAATAACAAAACAGTATGTTATAAAACAAGTTGTGCATTTTTCGTTAACGTCATGGAATGGCGTTAATTTGGCGTGCTCTGTTCGATTTGTCACGCCTAAAGATATACTTTGATGAGTTCGTTCAAAAAGACCACCTGTACCTCATGTAAGAATCAAACTGTAGTAAGGTACTCCTAGTGTACAATATTCAGACTACAAATTTCTGCTCTAAGGGTTTCAAAAGGTGGTCATGTCGGTGGTTGTGGTCTCTCTGATGTGACGGAGTTTACGCTCCCTTCTCGTTCGTCTCCCGGCGCTCCTCCTTGCCGAGTTTACCTGCAGGCTCCATCCACACGGGGCTGGCGGGGCGGCCTGCTGGCTCCATCCACACGGGGC